TGCAGCAGGTGCCTTTGGGAAGAACTTGTTTCTGGGGATCGCTTGAGGTTCTCTTGTCCCCCAGGACACCAGTGCGTGGGATCCGGGCTAAGCGGTTCCCAGATGGGCTTGAGGGGAGGTCATAGGAATGAGAGAGGAAGGTGGAGGTAGTGAGAGGGTATGGAGTTTCACAAAAGCTGGCAAGTGCTCATGGTGTGGTTCTAGGAGGAATTAGCTGCTTCTACCAGGGCTGAGATAAACACATAACTTTAGGGCATGGAAGTATGGTAGAGCTCTAGGGAATGAGCAATCCATTAAATCAGCTAATGTAGATCTAAGCTTTGCTGTGCATAAAAGTCTCCCTGTGCATGACCTCACAGATTCTTAGCAGAGCTCTGTGCTGGCTTTATTTGCCAGATGGGTTCAATCTACTATTTGGCAATGAACTACAAGTGAATACGACTTACGTAACCTGCCTGTTTCAAGGTTCACATGTGGCTTATTGGAGACTTGAATCCAGGGCCTTCTAAGCCTAGAATTTCACTCTCTTATACAGGATAGGATAACTGGGGCTCAGAGGTATGGGTGGAGAGACCTTCCATGTCTTCAACGTCATTTTCTTGTACTGTATTTTGATCACCCTTCGAAGGTCACAGACCAGGAGGTCTGTAAAAATTCAAGGTTGTACAATGTCTCCAACTCATAACCACCTGTTTATTTTCTCCCTCCTGCAAAGCACAGGCTGTCTCCCTACTGTCTGCTGCCTTTGGTTGTTTCAGATCCGTGGAGGTGGGAAGTGATGAATCCTGGTGAGTCAGTGACTTGAGAGAACCATTAAGAAAGGAAGAGTACTTTCTTCTTGAGGATAAACTTGACCTTTTCAAAACCCGGGCCCTCTAACTCAAGGCCATTTGTCACTTGGCAGCCAATTCTTTCCCTACTCCTCGGTTTTCCCACGGGGCATTTTTCTGAGTCATCTGATTGCTGCTGTCCCCTGCTCCTGTCCCCAGTCCCAGTTGAGGAAGTTTCAGATGGAAGGCAGTTTGTTTGGAATAAAGAGACAGGCGTCTCCCACAGCTTCTCTCTGCATGCCAAGCATGCTCTCAACACAGGCTGAAATCCGAACTAGGCTCTGGTCAGGGCTCCCCATCAGCGTCGCTTGGCTTTCACTGTCCAGAACACATGTCTGCTCCATGCCACTTGCCCAACCCACGCCTCCTATGCATGAGAGGAAGTGGGCCCTGAAATAGACACAGTTGGTGAAGACGGCAAAGTTTGGAAATTCATTAAACATTCTCTGCTTAGAAAACCTCCGTATCTTTTCCATGTTGTTTCAAACCTGGCTTAGCAATTCAGGGATGGTACAGGCTCCTTCAGCTTTTTGGTTTGCAAATCCCTTTATCTATTTGCTCATCTGCTTATGCTTCAAGATGGCTGCTGTGATCCTGCCCCCTAGCTTGCATCCCAAGTGGGAAGTTGGAGGAAGGGCCAGGACACGAATAGCTTTTCTCTCCTACCAAAGATTGTCCTTTTTTAGCTGGGAAGGGATCTCTTCTCAAAAACTTAGCCCAGGCCGGCGCCGTGGCTCAATAGGCTAATCCTCCACCTTGCGGCGCCGGCACACCGGGTTCTAGTCCCGGTTGGGGCGCCGGATTCTCTCCCGGTTGCCCCTCTTCCAGGCCAGCTCTCTGCTATGGCCCGGGAGTGCAGTGGAGGATGGCCCAGGTGCTTGGGCCCTGCACCCCATGGGAGACCAGGAAAAGCACCTGGCTCCTGGCTCCTGGCTCCTGCCATTGGATCAGCGTGGTGCGCCGGCTGCAGCGGCGGCCATTGGAGGGTGAACCAACGGCAAAGGAAGACCTTTCTCTCTCTGTCTCTCTCTCTCACTGTCCACTCTGCCTGTTAAAAAAAAAAAAAAAATTAGCCCATATCACATTCGCCTGAGTTTCATGGTCAACCCTAGCTAAGTACAGACTTAGCTTCCAGTCTCTGTAGGGAGCAGGTGGTCACAGAGGGGGTGGGTGTCTGGGAATGGCTTCTGGGACAAATGGTTGTCAGGCAGTGCAGTGTAAGGTGCTCTGAGCCACCCATGTAGAGACGTCGGGAGATGGCTAGACATTGGTCCTTCTGAGGGGGGGAGATGAGATTTAGGGGCAACTGGAACATACGGCTCAACTCTTCTCCATCTCTTCAGAACACGAGGCGAGCAGAAAAAAAGATGGAAGGCAGTTTGTTTGGGATACAAGAGACAGGCGTCTCCCACGGCTTCTCTCTCATGCCAAGCGTGCTCTCAACTCCTCCAAAAGAATGCGTGCTGAATGTTAACTATCAGGTTATCCGAGACAGGTGACTATCGGGTTATCCAAGACAGGTGACTAACGGGACTTCAACATGTAACCAACCAATAACGCTGTGTGGGGACATGCTTGGAATGGCAAGGAACAATCTTCCTGAACTTGCAGTGGCTGCTGGTCTTTGTGATGTAACGTGGATCTGTGGCACTAGCACTTAACAACATGGCTACAATGGCCACCACATCATCCACTTTAATGTCATGTAATCATGGTAATGACATCCATGCTGCATGGGCTGAGTCCCGTTCCTCCCAGTCCCTTCTGCTCTTGGGAGAAGATGGATGAGGATAAGGACAGTGCTGTCTCGTAGGGGATTGTCACTCATGAGGTAACAGTTGAGCCAAGAACTGAAGGAGGGAGAGAAGGTGCCATGGGCTCCTGGGGGAGAGGATGGGGTGGAAAGAGACAGGAGTTCAGGCAGTGACAAGGCCAGGATCAAGACTGTGTGAAACCTTTGTCACTGCCTCTGAAAAGATGATGCTATGGGAGAGGACCTACACCTTCAAGTGAGGTTGAATATTAACACCAGACTCTCTCATTTGCAAAGATTTAAAAGTGAAGAATGAAAATGAATCAGGCTTAAAAGCATCACCTCATCAAATCTTCACAAGGTTTTTACTCCAAGAAGCAACTTGGGAAGCCAGAAAAAGAATCTGAGGGCACTTCAAAAAGTTTGTGGAAAATGGAATGGAAAAATAAGTTCATGTAAGTGCAAAACATTTTGCAATCCAAGCACATTTTCTTAATAAGTGTTTTCCATGAATTTTTTGAAGTACCTTCTCATAAGAATATCACACCTCAGTGGTGATGGATGTCACGTGAATAATAATAGGTGACAAGAGCACTCAATTTAGTATCCTTGGGAGACCTGGTTCCACCAGTTAGCAGTGTGACTTGGGTAAGTGACTCATCCTCTCTGGTCTTCTGATGGGGCTACCTTAGCCTCGACTTCCTTGAATTGCGTGCATTGAATGCTCAATAAGTGCACTGTTGTAAGGGTGCACACAACAACTTCTGTTATCTGTGCTAGCTGTCGTTGCTATTGGAAGGAAGTTGGGAAGTAGAAGAAAACCGAGGCCGTTCTCCTGGACGTCTAATCATTTATTTAGTTATTAGGTTCTGCCTGGGTGCTGTAGGAGGTAGTGGAAAACTTCATGGCCAGCCCAAAGCTTTCCCTTCTGTCCCCTCAGGGCTTACAGGTTGGGAGAAGAAAATAAACCAGCAAAATGCCTAAGGGTATTGTTGCAACTGCAATGGACAGTATTTTTGAAGGAAATGTATAGGATGAAGTGTGGGACTTTCTCTTTCCACTGCCATATGTGAGCTCTATCCCCTGCACACTGTCCCTTCTCATAAAGCTGATTTCTAGAATCCTATCCGTGTCAATCAGGATAACTTGGGTGCAGGTAACAGAAATTGCTGATACTTATCTCCTATAATGTGAAGATTGAAGGCAGGGGTTCCTGGGGTTGGTTTAGCCCCTCAACAACCTTTTCCTCAGGGGGATAAAATGACTACAGCAACTCTAGCCATTGCTCAATAGTGCCCCCAGCAGGAAGAAATGTCACAACAGGTGCCTTGCTCTTTCCCAGCTCTCTGCTTATCCAGGAGCCAAAGAACTCCTCAGCACATCTCCACACGTGTCTCCATGGGCTGACAGCTGTGCTTGTTCCTCAAGATGGTCGGTGAATGGGGACAGGGTGGTTATACCGCGAGTACTGGGTTCATCCCCAGGGGCTAAAGAAGGGACTCAGCTACTCTGACTCTGTTGCAGGCAAACCCAATCGGTTTCTATTGACTGCAGAAGCATCAGTGACCAACAGTATCTGCCCTACCAGTGTGTCTGTGAGTCCTCCCGAGACCAGCCCAAGAGAAGACAGCTTTCCTGCCCTCTTTATTCTGTCTGGACCAGAGCCCTCCTCAATGCACTTCATGGCAGCACCTAGGGGATGACGTTCCCTGTCCTAATCTGGTTCTTCCTGCGGCTGGCTCTGTGGCAAAGATCCTGGTGCAAGGAGGTTGTTTGGGCGATGTGTGGGACGTTGGCAGGGAAGTGGAACATGATGCAGAAAGGGAAGCGGGGAGTCCAGGGTGAACTGGTAAGCCAGTTCCCATAGTGAGCCACAGGAACTGAAGCCCAGGGGCCACTGGACAAAAGCAGGCAGCACAGGTCTTAGCAGTATTCTGTTAGACAAGCTGGATTAATACTACCCCAACTCCCAGGGACCACTCCCCAGGTCTGTGAATTCCCCAGCACTTCTGGCCTGCCCATGTGTACAAGGTGGTCTTCTAAGGCTCTGGGGAGGGGGACACAGAGAAGCAGTAGTCCCTGCCGAGGTCATCTGAGACACAAGGACGTGGAGGGGACATTTGTGCCAACCGCACTTGCTAGCCAGCCTACCTCTAATGCACACGAGCCGCTGCCTCGGTGTGGACACAAATGCTTGGATGGAATACTTGGAGCTCAGATGTGTGACTTCATCAGTGTTTTCCATAAGTGTCTGCTTCTCAAAGTAAGGATGGAGCAGACTTGTAGAGTTTAATTGGCACAGCATCCTGTACAGGACTGGGTATAAATAACCACACAGTGTATAAATAACTTTCTCACATGCATTTGGATGGTGTCACACTGAAGATAAGAATAACTTCTTTCATGTCTCACAACAGTTGGACCAGTAGTTATCATCGTGATGAATGTGTAACTTCGATGCAACTTTTCCAGTCAAGCAAATGGGCAAGTGGGAAAAATCCTTGCAGAGCCCAGCTCTTATGACACAAGGTCAGCATCACATCCCACAAGGTGAGTGGAGATTTAGCAGGCCCCTTTAAAAGTCATTACAGTAGTCAACTCCGTGAGAAAATTTAGCACTCCAGCTTCTAGGACTAGAACTAACCCAGGGAGAAAATCCAGTATTCCGACTTCTATAACTAAAATCAACCCTGTGAAAAAAAATTCAGTACTCCAAATTCTAGAATGGTAATCAACTCAGTTAAAAAAAATCAGTACTCCAACCTCTAGAACTAAAGCCAACCCACTGGAAAAATCCAGAACTCCAAATTCTGAAACTATAATCAACACAATAAAAAAAGTTCAGTACTCCAAATTCTAGAATGGTAATCAACTCAGTAAAAAAAAAAAAAAAAAATTCAGTACTCCAACCTCTAGAACTAAAGCCAACCAAATGGAAAAATCCAGTGCTTCAAATCCTGATAATATAATCAATCCAATAATTAAAAAAAAAAAAATCAGTACTCCAACTTCTAGAATGGCAACAAGTCCAGCACAAAAATTCTGCACTCCAAATTCTAGGACTATAATCACATTTTGAGCCTAGAGATCTCCTTCTGCCTCTTTTGAATTTAAGTGAAAAGCAGCATAGCAATTTCAATTTCTTTTTGTGGAGCATACGTTGTTTTTATACATGTGGAATAATTCATTGAGGCTATAAGTAGTATTGAGTAAGCATCCTGAGAAAACCTTGCTTTGATGTCATCTAGTCCCTCCTACCACCCTCCCTGCGCCCCCTCCACCCCAGTTCATTTTTGTCAAAGTGAGTTTCCATATGTTTCATCTAAATGAGTCACATTCAGAGAAATCATTCAAATGATCTATGTGTGCAGCTAACTTTTTCATTTGTGGGTGATGATCAAGAGTAGAAAAAATGGTGCTTTCTTCTCCCATCCCCAACTCCTTGGGCTTGCGCTGCTTCTCTGAGCATTCTGAACCTTCAACTGTATTCTACACCAGGGGGAAATAGCCATAGTCATATTGCGAAAATTATTCAATTTCAGTCCACTTAAAGGGCCTTAAAGGGAGGCTGCACTCACGCCTTCTCAGGGGATAGGCAGTGCATGTTACCGTGGCTAAAGTGCTGGTTGAGAGGTTTTAAATCATATTTGTATCTTGGGACACTCACACTGGAGACAATTGTCTTCCTAAGAAGATGCACCATCTGTGTCATTGGTTGTGCAGGGCCCGGCAGGGGAGAACAGGGCCAGCTTCAGAGGTTAACAAGGACTGTCACTGCATCCCACGCTCTCAACCTCAGGGATGCGATGGGTCTTGGAGTCTCCTCTTGCCTTCTGTTAGGTAACCATGAAATACATACATATCTGCATCCAAATGAGGCAATGCTTGATCTTCTCTGTTGACTGAACTCAAGGCTCAGTTTGATTTTCACCCTTCTTATCAAGAGCTGGCTTCACGAATGAGCAGTTATGCAGCACGCACATCTGGGTAGCTTCCATACAGGAGGTGTGTTACTGACGCTTCCCCTACTCGACTGATGCCTTCAAACGCAGGGGGACATTACAGTTGTGGATTTCACTGCTGCTTTGGTTCAAGGATCACTGCGTTCTCTTGGAAATGATGCGCTGCTCTCCTTCCCACTTACCCCTACGGGCATCAAGGCTGTTGGCTGACACTGAGACACCCAGCTGGCCAGCCCGTCTGCGATCGGTAGCACTGGCCAGTCTTTCACAGAGAGCACCCACAGCCCATCTCACGGACAGTTGACAGTCCCAGGAAAGGAAGAGAGGGAGACAGGAGGGAGGGACTTCCCTGTTGTGGGCAGTGCGATGCACCCGGATTCCCTCAAACTCAGCTCTCTAAATGTTTCTGGCATGGGAGACTCTGAAACCTTTCTCTGCAGACAAGGTGACTCTTGTTCTCTGTCTGTTTGGACAGCCACCCAGGTTGGCTTGGGTGGGAATCTGTGTCCTGCTCTCTGGTCTTTCCCACTCATTTCTTTGCTGGCTAGGCATGATTGTCTCATCAACCAATCAGCCAGCCAGTCCTCAGAAGGAAGATGTATTGCACCGGCCCAAGTGTTTTAAAGTTGATTAGGATTTTGTATCAACAACAGCATTTGGAAGTACATGTGAGTCATTGTGTCTGCTTAGATTGTCATTATTTATTTTTATGTATTTATTTATTATTTTTGTAAAGATTTATTTATTTGAAAGGCAGAGTTACAGAGAGGCAGAGAGAGAGAGAGAGAGAGAGAGATATCTTTCATCTGCTGGTTTACTCCCCAACTCCCCAAGTGGCCTCAATGGCCGGAACTGTGCTGATCCGAAGCCAGAAGCCAGGAGCTTCTTCCAGGTCTCTGATGCAGGTGCAGGGCCCAAGGACTTGGGCCATCTTCTACTGCTTTCCCAGGCCATGGTAGAGAGCTGGATCGGAAGTGGAGCAGCCAGGACTTGAACTGTAGCCTATATGGGATGCCAGCACTACGCCACAGTGCTGGCCCCCTGTATTTATTATTTAG